TCAGCAGGTCACGGGGTGGAACTGTGAGACAGGAAGGATTTGTATTTTAGGCAACATCACTAGCATTAACTATATTTAACATTACACAGTCCTCCTACTTTCAGATCTTGTTTCCAATCACTTTTACCTTAGCCCCAATAGTTGATGCTTGGCAGCGTTTTTCGTGGCAGATACCTCATGGTCTAATGCTGAATATTTCCAAAAAGTGTCAGCAAAGTTACTAATTTCTCAGAATGAAGTTAGGGAAGAAGAGACTTTTCTGTACAAACGAAAAGACCTCTTGCTACCTATTCACTGAGAAGCTAAAATTTTCCAGGGATGTTGCCTGGATGGTATGGATGTGATCTTTGCTGTGCGTCAGAAATTGTCCCATTCAGCCAAGTGATAAAGTTTGAAGAGGTTTCTGTTAGCGTGTGTTAAATAGACTAAGCATTCAGCACACTCCAGTCCAGGGCGCACAGAGAGGAAGGAGGACCTTTCCCTGCAGCTGCAGCTCTGGTTAAGCTGGTACCTCCTTGGGAAGCCCGTGGAGGCTAAGCCATCTGCACAGCCGTAACAGCCTCCCCGAACACGAGAAGAAAGCGGTCGTCAGAAGGAGACAGGAGTCGGACCAGGAACTGTCCAGGTTAAGCAAGCTGGGACAAAACGCTTTTATAGATGGCACAACCTAGCATTTCACTAGAAGAGACACAAAGCTGCTAAATAAGGCGTGCGGGAGCCAGCCCGTAAGGAGAATGGAGGTACTGCCTCCTCGTGATTGTGCTTTGATGCCATCTTTGAGTTCGGGCTTGCACAGTATTTTTTCGCAGTATTTTTTCCCTGCCTGCTTCAGTGCACAGGCTGAACACCCCCTCTGGATCAGTCCGAGCTGCAGGGCCCTGCCTCACCTGTCCCAGGCTGCTGTAGAAGAGGAAGGAGCCTCTGACCCCGTTGTTTGCTGCCTGGAGGGTGGACCCTGCTCTCGCGACACAATCCCAGCCAGATGCTGGGCAGACTCAACTGGTTGGAAGTGGCCACTAGGCTCGTACAGTTTCTCTTCTGGAGGCCCAGCCTACCACTCTTCATTCTGCAGAGCAGCCGAATTGCTCACTGCCATGGCTTGAAGCTACTGACAGCTGTTTTGCACATTTCATGGGATGTGTCGTGCTAACGAACCCAGGAGGTCTGGTGTCCAGGTCTGAAATTGGGCGAGCACAACGAGTGGCACTTCTTACCTACATCTTTCTTTGATTCATGTTCCTGTGCAAAAAGAGTCCTTCCCCTTCACCTCAGAGGGAGGTTGAAAGCATTAATGTTTTGTGAAGCACTTAGATTTTACAGTGATGAGCGCAGTAGAGAAGCTCAGGAGAGTATCACTAATTATGTATTCACGGATGGCTTAAATACAGTGGAAGGAAGGCCTATGGGCGATGCTGTGGGTAAGGAGAAAAAAAATACTAGAGAGTCTCTCACTGAAGACTATTGTGCATCTTGTGCAGTGAATGAGTGAATGAATCATGCAGAGGGGCAAAGGGGCGCGTGGTCACATAGCTAAAAGCTGATGTGTAAGCACACGAAGGTAGGGGCAAGTTTAGTTCTGGTGTGTTTGATTTTGCAGGCTCAATGTCCTTTAAAATGTTTTTGCAAAGGTGCTGCTTGTGTTAAGAAAAGTGTCTCCAGGACCTGACTGGTCTTTGCATGGACTAAAAAGAAGTGCATCCCATGCTTCACACAGCTTTTCAGCATAGGACCTTCTATATGAACACTGTGGGATGTTGAGGATGAAAGCAAATGAACAGAGCCATGGTTTGGGCTCTCTTTTTACAGAGCCAAGCACAGAAGGGCTCCGGTCCTTGACATGGGTAGTACTGCAGTTCAAATAATAAATAATAATAGTTTAGCACAATCCAGCTAGGGCTTGACTTGGCGGGCGCTTTGTCATTGTCAGCTGGCAGCGCAATGCTGTATCCTGACTACTGGCTGCGTACTTGAAAAGAAGATGTTGCTCCTGCTGACAGCTAATAGTGGATCTCCTTTAGCACACCAGGTAGAACTTCTACTTTGTGCATTTGAAAACACCTGATTTAGGTCTCAGCTGGGAGAGATTATGCAGAAAGGAGGCGTATGAAATAGCATCAAATGAGGATAATCCTTCATTTGACATTACCTTCATTTGGTTACCTGCCTCAGTCCTGCAGTGCAGCACCCTGCTATTAATCTTTTGTCAGGATGTACTTAATGTTATATCTGCTACCTGAGACAATTATTAGACTTTGCACTTCACTAGCACTTCTTTTTGAGAGGCAGCATGGCCTAGAGTGAGTATAGAGGGGGTAATTGCTTCCCATGATACTAAGAGTACCGATCCAAAACCTTTATAAAAGATTAGCTGGTGTTTAATCTATACAGGAAGTTGGGACTTCATGTTCTATGTGATCTGAAATTCAGAACCTCTGTATTTTTCTAGTCTCTCCGCAGTCCTACGATACCAAATTTACAAAGTCAGTTTTCAGAGAATGAGCCGAATTCTCTGTCAACTACAAGGTGTTTAAAGCGGGAATAGTTGCACCTACTACAAGAGACTTTCTTTGGGTCTAGGCAGATGCAACTCCGAATACACCTTAGCCATCTCATAACGTGTTAAAATTCAGTTTCATGTGAACATGG